GAAATTCTTCATTTACCTATTTCTTCTTTTTTTTTTTTTTTTTTTTTTTTTTCTTTTTTTTTTTTTTTATAAATATAGCTGTTATAAAGAGAAAAGAACGAAAGAAAATAATTGTGTTTCGTCTATTATTATATATTTGTGATATCAACGCGATATCAAATTAACTTGAAACTATTTTATCGTATATCTTAATTCTGGAAATAAACTTTTTAAATCTTTGAAGAACGTTATCTTTATGAAATCGTTGAAAATCCTTATTGAAATTCCTGCGCAAGCCCGATTAAAACATTTCTAATGTATAATCTTATCAGATGATATCAAGAAGAAATGAATTGATATCTTAATGGGGAAAGTGCGAAAGTAGATACCGGTTAAACAAACTTAAAGTCTCGTGATAACTCGATGGATTTCAACGTGAGGACTTGGAAATAGGACGACGATCGAAAACTAGGTCGCGACCTTATGGGTGAGGGACCGTTATTTCAAGGTCGAGTATGGTAACTTTACCTACCTACCATCTATACTACAACATGGAGAACGAAACGCTAAGTTCAATACCATTCTTTGATATATTTTCGTTAATCGTTAAATGAGATAGAAAATCAATTCGTACAAAACTGATATACATATATGTATGTATATGTATAATTCATAAAAACAGATTTTTTACGAAAAGATTTCATGATGTTGATATCACGGAAAGAAATTATATCTACGTTTCGTATTAAGTCTTGTAAACACGCGAGTGACCGCGATCTGTAACGATCCGATAAATGAGAATCGTAATCGTGTTACACCGAATGAATTACGAACGAAAGACTTATGAGAGGATGTTGTCTATCGACGAAATAAATGATTTTAAAAATAATGAAAGTAAAAAATAAAAAAAAAAAAAATATAAAAAAAAAATAAAAGACGTCATAATCGTATTATAATAATATCGTAATAAAAAAGACTATTATGACAATATAAAAAAAAGGAAATTATCGAATTAGATCAGATCAGATATAGACTTTTTAAATTTGACGATATAATATAATATTGTTACCATATAAGTTACATTTCTAATTATTAAGAAAGTTTTCAAATGGTTTGGCATGTAGCAACCACTGATTTACATTGAGTCAAAGTGGGCGTCGATCTAAAGCGACTAGCCACGCGTAAAGGAACATGTAAATAAACGGAATACGTTTTTATTACGTTCATGCTAGCTGCAGTTACATAAACACGGATTCCAAATATAATGTATGTTGTATGTACGCCTTCCGTAAACTTCGTTTCTCCTTGCGAATCTATTCGTATAAACGTAAACTTCTGAACATTCTAATATCATATATATATACTTGTGACTAATATCGTATCATATATATATATATATATATATATATATATATATATATATATATATATGTATGACATCATAAGGGTAACAGTAATTTTTAATTTAAGATAATCTGATAAAAAAAAGAATAATCCATGAATAAAAATTTAACAATTTCCAATTGCCAATAAATTACAATAGTAAAAATTGGCAAAACATTTTTTTTCAATAAAATAATTAGATTATCCTTTCCTTAATGATACTATTGAATTTTTTGTTATAACAATAATATAATTTTGTATTAATAAGGACAACAAAATAAATTCAATGAGTATACAAGATATTACTTCAGCATAGTATTAAAACTTAACAAAACAAACAATAATTGAAACATAATTATTAGAATTGAATAATATTGAGAAAAAAAGTATAGGAATTATAATTTAATTATTTATTGAAATATAATTACCGCATGTTGATAAACATTAGTCATGACACTAATTTTATATTCCTTTTACAATTCTTTAAAAGATCGTTACAAGCTTTATTTTATAATAATAATATCATTAAAAAATTAACATCATTAACATGATCATTTACAGGGAAGGTCAAAAAAAGAAAAAAACAATCATACATCTTTTAGGCCATTAAAGATTATTATTTTATTTTATTTGGCATAACTTTTATAAAATTGTTATGCGCTTTCATTATTTATATCAATAAATTATGTAGTTTGACACATTACGCATCATTCCGTAGTCGTATAGGCGCGAAATTTGAAATCAAAGTGAGTATAAACTCAAAAAATGCAAGAAAAAAAAGGAAGCAGAAAGAGAGAGAGTGAGAGAGAGAGAGAAAGAGGCAGAGAGAAAGATAGAAATAACTTACAAAGTGCATTCGAACGCATTTAAAACGTATAAATCACGCGATTTCGTCATTTCGTACGAATTAATTTCTACTTAATAAATATATGATCATTCTTTATAACGGAGTGTTACTCGTAATAGTGAAAGTGAATAATCGTAATCGGCATTCGTTCGTTTTATTTTATTGTTCAATATCATTTCTTAAATCGTTCCAAAAAAAAAAAAAAAAAAAAAAAAAAGAAAAAAAAAATAGTGCACCTTAGCTCGATCTGTTAAATAATATTAAGAGAGATAAAGATTCTTATATCATATCATCGATGTATTTAACAATTTTCCAAAAAATATCGTTTACGAGCGATTTTGAAATTAACTTTAAAATAACTCTGAGATTTAAAGAAAAATTGTAAATACTTCGTTTGATGTAAATTTAACAACTAAATTGGTTGATCACTTTTAAATATGATAACTTATAAAAAACTATTAAAGATATTCGGAGATGATTCATTATCGGATTAAGTCCAAGTAATTTGATAAAAAAAAAACCTCCTACTTTTTGTGGTCGACGAAACTAAATTGGGCTTAGTAAAATTTTCTTTTACTAAGTTAATGTTTCTTTTACTAAGTCTGTTAATAGTAGATTTCTGGACAAGATAGAAAAAGACATTAACAGAATCAAATAACTGGATCGAATAGAATCAAATTGAACAGAATAGGACCGAATAGGATCAAATATCGTCGAAGAAGATCAAATAGAATCGAATAGGAACATATATGATATAATATTATAGAACGGAGTAAAATCGAATATGATTGAATATAATCGAATAATAGGATCGAATGTAGCCAAATAGAACTGAGTAAGATCTGAATAAGATCGAATAGAATTAAACAGTATAGGACTAACAATATAGAACCGAATAGGTTCGAATAGAGTTCAATAGGACTGAATAAAATCGAATAGGTTCGAAAAAAAAACCGAATAAAAATGAATAGGATCGAATAAGAACGAATAGTGATGAATAAGATCGAATAGAGTTGAATAGCATCAAATAGAACCGAATAGCATCCGAATGGAACCAAATAGGCCCAAATAGAACCAAACAGCATCCGAATGGGACCAAATAGAACCAAATAGATCAAGCGACATAATAAGACTGTAAAGGATCAAATAAATTCAAATAGAATCGAATAGGACAGAACAGAATCGAATAAGTCCATATAGGACAAAATAGAATCGAATAGAATTCGATAGGTTCGATTAGACTTGATACTATTCGATCCTATTACATCCGATTTGATCCTATTGGATCAAATTTATGTTGATCCGTTCCTATTCTATCTTATTCGATCCCATTTTATCCTATTATATCCTATACAGTTGTTTTCGATGCTATTCCATCCTATTCGTTTCTATTCGATCCTATTCTTTGATTTATTTGGTTCAATCGGGTCCTATTTAATTTTATTCGATCCTACTCGTTCTTCCTCGAGTACGATCGATCTTATTCGATTCCAATCGTTTCTTTTCGATCTTATTCCGTCGATCCATATTCTAACTAGTATTCTGTTACGTTTATTTACTATTTACGTTTCTAGCGAATAACTTTGCTATTGAAGACTTACGTTTATAATCAATTTTAAATCGTTTATTTTGAGTTGTAATGTGACTTAAAATAACATACTATACGTTCATTGAATTTGTTTTGCTATCTCCTGCATTATTAGTTAGGATGGCTTTATTTTCTTATAGACGAAAAGTGTTTGACGAATTAATATTATTATTGTAATTTATTGCCACTTTCAAGGTCCACTTTTATCAAATTATCATTAGCGCTTTAAAAATTATGATCACTATTACGAGAATCATCCTGATATGTATATATATATATATATATAGATTTAATCAGATTTTATCTTTACATATACATATATGTATGTATATATAAATTACTTGAATGTAAATTGCGATAGTATTGAAATGGAAGATCATAAATGGTTAAATTGCAATACTTGAAAAAAAAAAAAATTTTCACCCCGTGTATAGTTCCATTTAAATGTAAATTCTAAATACATAGATATTCTTTGTATATAACTTTTTTTCTCATATATATGCCTCTCTATGGACATTAGATTATTTTAGAACAATAGCCATAACGAACTTACCTTTCATGGCTCGAATACAATCGAACCAGCTGCGTGGATACATAATTTACACGTTCATAAACCTTTTATATGTATATATTGTATATACAACACCAATATAAATCTTTGTTCTATGTATATGAACGGGGTCTTCTTACGAGTAATATGTCTATATTCGGTCACTGGATGATACAAAAAAAAAGAGAACAAAAAAAGAACGAAAGAAAAAAATTAATGGTTAATTGATTTAAAAAAAAAAAAAAAAAAGAAAAAGGACCAAGACGTAGATGAGTCAATGTCGACGAAATTCTAAGTCACCTAAGCTTTCTCGAATAGATAAGCGAGAGTCTTCTTTTTTCTGCGATCACGATTCCACTTATTTCCGTACTTAATCACAGTCATCAAAAAATTATTATGAAAAATGACGACAGCGTAAAACACTTTGTGCTACCTGCTCTTCTTTTTCGCGTTTCGTTTGTCCCGCATATATATATACGTACATACATACATACATATATACATACATACATACATACATACATATACATACATATACATGTATATGTATATATATATATATATATATATATATATACAATATACAATGCACGTGTATATTTTCATGAAATCATCGCGCGCCTCCGCAACCTCGAGCTCGGTTTCTTGCGAAA